GCTATAAAGTGACTCCCTTAATGCCCTTGTTTCCGCTTCAAGCAGCCAACTGAATTGCTACCAAGAATTAGTTAACAATAAGTGTTTCTTCACTTGCTCTTTTAAATTTGAGACAACTGGCTGTCAGAAGTCTACCGAAGTCTTTTTCTGCCTTGTCATGTACTGTCCACTTTGTCCAGATCTAGGGGCTCTCTTAAGACAACACAGAGATAGATGCGTTTGCGGCAAAGAGTACATTGAGACGAAGCATAGACTACCCTCGCACGAAATCTTTCTCATTGAATATTACATAACTTACCCGTGAATACCTAGAGTATAAGTGTTTAAAACGAATAAATCTTTTATAACGATAAATACATATTTCAAATATGTCAAAATGATTTATGCAGAGGGAAATTTTGACGAATTTGAGAATAGTGACCAAAGTTTACTTGATTTTTCAAGGAGACATCTTTGTCTTTTGAATGAGAAAGGTGAAAGCTAATGTTGAAACTCTCGGGGAATTTGTTAAGGAACTTACAATGAAGCGTGTTTCACGAATTCTCTGCTTGGAAATTTTATTTGTGAAATAAAAATTAATTTATTTATTTAACCAGTTTTATTGTTCTGCGAACGATTCTAAAATAGTTGGCTATTTGTTTAGTCAATTGAGTTTGGCTCATGATTTTTAAGTCTTTAGCTGATGAATTGAAACAAATAATTCAGTTTTTAGAACAGTAAATATGATGTACTTTGTATTAACAGCATGTTTCACGTATTTACGTACGAAAGTATGCTTAAGCTTGATTTGTAGGAAATTAGCGCAACCAATTTAAAGGAAAATGGATGTTCCGGTAAACGGTAACTTTCAGTTGATCTTCCACTGCTACAAAGTGATGCACGAATTTCAGAAGTTTGCAAGTTAACTTTCAATAAGACCGCGCCTGGTAGCAAGCAGCTATTACCACGATTGTCTTGATGCCGTATATTGTCCTGCTGGTGATCTTTGTTTTGATATCTCATTTTCAAGGTCAGATCAGACTGAGTATCTGTTACAGACAATTCAGAAACATTCTGACGAATGAAGCTAAGATGCTGTCCACAGTTTGCAAGGAATAGTTCGCTTTTTACATGTATGTACAGTTAGTGTTCAAATTTAAAACTCTGTAGCTTGAAAATTGCTTTATACGTGTTATAAAAATTATTATCGGCTTATTAGTGTTGGTAATCATTGATCCTCTTATGATCATCCCATTTATCGTATGGGAAAAGTTTTTAGTAAATCCGTATGTTATTGTATGGATAAACAGCACTTAGTGGTTGTTTCCTCACTTGTGACACTTAAAAACTGAGGTCAGGTTCCTTGCAAAAATTCTTACAGCAGCAAACATGGTTACGTTAACGGTACAAATCAGTGTCTCTTATGTCGACATTTCCAATAAGAGGTTTCTAAAGTATGTTATTTTGAATGTCCGTTTTGGGTTTAATATAAAATATATATTGTTTTATTTGTTCTTCTGTTTGAAAGCTATTTTACTGTTGTATTTTACCATTTAACTGTATTTTTTGTGCGAATCAAGAGGTGTTCATCTGCTGTATTCAGTTTACCTGTCACTAGTACAACAATTTTAATAAACCACAACAGTGGCAGATCTGTTGTCTTTTACTTAATAATGATATTTAACCTTTTTTCTTCCTACTTGTGAATTACAAGTTTTTGACTTTACAACTGACGAAACAGTGATTGTATGAAAGGGAAAAATTACTTGGCCGACTGAGTGAGAGTAGAGTTCCAGAGTTAAAACAGCTAAAGCAACGAAAACTAAGACTCAGAGGAGGACAAATTACTGTATTTCGCGGATTAGACGCCGTTTCAACAGTTTACTACAGAAAATTTAGGCGAGGTGCAACGATTTTAGCTGCACTGTTTTGAATTATCTTCAGCTTTACTAGAACTTCGGTGAGCTGCTCATCTGTAACTACCGTTCTCATTAGAACAGGGTCACCAATTTGTTAAAAGAATGTCGAAAAACTAATTTAATTAGCATCTGAATTTTGAAACGGCGATCGTGGAACGACGGATCATAACAGTTTATTTGATGAATGTCACTAAGAAGTAGGAAGTTTTACTTCAACGCAATTAATTTATATCGAGCATCATTTAAGGTGTAATTTATTGAAGATTTGCTGGAAGATGCAGTAAGGGGTGTTAGAGTACCTCTTCACGAGTTACAGTGCTAAATTTTTAAGGACATGTTAATTCTAGACTGAATTTTCAAGATTATTTCTAGCGATTTTAACTTCTGAGACTCGTTTGCAGTCTAAATTGTGTTTGTTGTTTCCCAGCGCTGTTCGCTAAACTTTTTTATTAACGATTTTTACTTTGGCCAGTATTTAAAAAGTTGTTGAGTGGTTGCAGAGAGAGGACTGTTGGAAATTTTCTGTTAATAGTAGTGCTCATCGGCTCACAAGAAACTTACAGCTAATAATAGTAAGGTATGATTTAAGACAGTATTTATCATTTTCGCCAAAATGCTAGTCCAAGCAGCGAAATTTTAATGGTTCAAAAATGCTTGTTCACTTCAATTTTAACTATTTACAGCAACGCTCCCAACAAACTTCTGGATATTTTTGTAAATTTATTCTCAGAAATATGTTTGTTATGGAGGCTATTGGTTGCCTGTGCACCTGGGCAAAAATTTTTTACATTTCTGTTTTGCTCAGTAATAAACTGGTTTTCATTGCTGTTGACTTTTGGAATCATTAGGCGAACTATAACGAAATCCTGAGGAAGAAAATTTTCTTGCTCAAGTATCCCTCCGCTTGCTTACTGATGTCAGCTTTTGCATTAACTTTATGCTGCTCAGTACCAATGTTACTTTTTCGGTTTCTTTTCAAAAGCTATTTCATGTTTTTCTGTTCCTTCCCAGTTCACTTTGTTGATAAATGCAAAAATAATATTTCACAATCCCTAATACTAAACAGTAGAGTTCAAAGATGTTCATACTAGGGAAGGGTTAAAAATGGACTGTTGATGAGATGAGAACATTACTGGCGGAACTTCTCGGTTAGGCATGTCTGCAAATTTGTGAACAAAAAACGTTTTCAAGTTTTCTCATTGTTATTGGACAAAATGATCACGTTTTTCAAGGCCAGTTGGCTTTCTTTTTTTCTGGTGAAAATTAATTTTAGTTGTCTAGCCAGAAAAATTCCTGTCTGTAATTCCGTCAGTACTCAATAGGATTGTAATAGGGCGAAGCATTTTGGTAGTGCCGTTAGAGTACAGCTAAAGCATAACGCCTATTAATTTACAGGAGGTGTAGGAACGGATTCTATGGCTGGCGAAGTATATAATGAATCTACAAACACAATAAGTGATGTAGAAGATTCGGTAATACGATAGATGATTAACATTCGATGAAGTCTTCTGAACAGTTTTTTGTTTTGCTACCATTAAAATGCATATATTTTCTTAAGTATCGATTTTTTTTCTTCTTTTTGATTACTAGTTTCGAGTTTGGCTGATCGGCGTTCGTAATTCTTCTGAATATCGGGAGGTTTTGCTGTTTTAGTTACTGGGACGAAGAAATCCGTATGCTGATGATTCCAGGGGACTAACTGTTCCGCAAGCAGTGAGATACAAGCAGTGAGACAGTGAGCAGTGAGATAATTTCTTCTTTTTATCTGTCATCAGTCTAACAGATAAAATACGTATGCTGCGATAAAGTTCTACGTTCATTGTTGCTTTTCTCTTTTTTCTTTTTTCGTTTCCCCTTCTAGTTCGTTTTATGCCCTATGCATAGTTTGCCACTTTGAAAGAAGGAGAGGGGGCAAAAGTGGGCAATAGAATAGTTTTTGGCAGTAAACCAGAGTACAGCGACTCTTTTAAATTGGCGCCATTTGTACAGACTGTAGTTTTGTGTCCGAAATGTTGTGGGTGGTTTGCCAAATACGGGGTGGCATATTGTTTGCCAGTTGTGCCTGTATATCAGAAAAACTGTGTTTTGATGCATATCAGCTTTTGAAGGTCTTGTTGAAAACACAAAGTATAAAAGACGATGCTATCACTAATCAAATTCTAGGCACCTATAACTGGATGTAAAATGGCTTAATTGACTAGAATAAAAAAGGGATTTGAGGAATCAGCTAGTTTTTTCCTTCAATTCGGTTTCGTACGGGTTGTTAGATCACTGTGACGGTTTTTTATCATTTTACCATTTGAAGTTGTATATCTCCTAAAACTTGGACATCTTATATAGGTTTGCCAAGTTTTTGCTGACCGTTTTAATCCCTTGTATCTATGTTTTTATATAGTGGCATTTTGTTGTGGGTTTTTTTCTTATCATTTTTTTATTTTTGTTTTCTTTTTTTTCTTTTTAAAGTTTTTTTGCCCTAATTTTTCATTTGGTGGGAAATCAATGTGCAAACACAAAAGATCATGGGAACATTTGTAAAGACTGCCAAAAAAAATAAATAAATAAATAAAAATAAAGCGAAAAGAAAACGTCATTGAGCGATGAACATTAAAATGGGTCTTGTTTTTATATGTATTTGATTTTGGATTCTATGTAATACTTTTTTTTTGACACGGTCAAAAAGGTTGGTCTCTGTCATTATGTGGTCTGCTTTGCGTTTCCACTGTTGACACTCCGGCTGATGTAGTTTTTACTTTATATGCTGAGAAATGAAAGTCATTGCGCATTTACTCTTTCAAAACCATTTGGTAGGAGATGAAGGTGTTCAAATAGGTGGTGAACCTTTCTAAACCTGTTAAATTGTCTATTCTCTTTCTTTCTATTGTGTTTTCATTCTTTTTATATTATTTTATCCCTTGAAAAGAGTTAACTTTGGTAAATGATTTTATAGATTAATGCGATACAGGTATTGAAAGCATTAATTTATCAAAAGCTACTTTAGTTCAAAGGTGTGTAATTGGCATTGTTTTTACTCTTTTATTTGATGGAAAGATTACAAAGACCTGTAAAGTATCACATGGCAGTCAGTATTTTTTTCCAGACCTGATGTTTTCGAAGGACGATAGTTGCAACTCTAATGTTAAGTTTGACTTAAACTCTGCGAGCGTAAATAACAGTAACGGTTTGCGGGACGGTGAAGTGCGACGAAAACGTCAGCTGTCGCTTTCTGTTCCTCGTTGGTTTCTTTTTTTTTTCTTTTTTTTTCTTGAATTAGATAAGTTAATACCAGCTCCGGAATTCTATAACAGTCGGCAAAATAATAAAGTACGTTACTTTGACTAGTTTTTTACTGTGCTTTCATGAGTAACGAAATGGTAGTATACTCATCTTGCTGTTAAACCTGAATATTCGTTAACTTTTTTGTTACTGTAGTGTATTTTAGCGACGCCATGGTTTGGACTAGATATTGGTGGCACTTTAACCAAACTAGTTTATTTTGAGCCGCAGGATGAGGTATATTCTTTGATTTTTTTTAAAGTCACTTTACACTCGTTTTTAGACATTGAAGGGACTCGACTATTTCAAAATTTTGACACCTCTTTTATGTTTCTGTGGGAATATTTCATTATAGTTTTTTTATATTTGGTTATGCAGATAGCCGCTAGTTTTTAGAATGAGGTTGAAATTCCTGCGGATGAGCTGTCTCGTGGTCATACAATCCAACGTTACTTAAAGATGTCTAAGGCATATGGGAAAACGGGCACTCGAGACAGTCATCTACAGTTGGACAATGTTGAATTCAATGTAATAATCTTATTTCTAAACCAGTGAAAATCAATTTAGTTTAGAAGTACGTACAGAATGTTTGTTATCAATGCGTTCTTGGCATTTTGAAAGTTGTCAGGTCGAAAATTTTGTTGCACAGTTTCTTCGTTTTTTATTTTGGTTTTTTTCTCTTTTTTGTTTTCCGCCAACGTGCTGAATTTAATTTCGATTGCCAAATTGATTTCGATGAGTGGGATCTGATAAGTGAAATAATAAGATACGGTCTACGTTTTGCTTCCGCAATGAGTTCCGCTTCAGCGGAATCAAAGGTGAGGAGTTCTTTATTGTGAAATAAGTTAATTTGACATAGTTTAACCTAATTTAGGGTCGAAGAGGTGTCCTTCATTTTATTCGTTTCCCTACAGATCGCATGAATGATTTTTTAACGCTGGCAAGAAGCAAAGGTTTTGCGCAATTGAGCAGCACTGTTTGTGCAACTGGCGGCGGTGCTATCAAATATGCAAAACAGGCAGAAACAGTAAGGGCTATGTTTGTGACCTTTTATGATTTGTACAACGATTAAAAGTTCAGTTTTCTTTTCGCTGAAATTATCATTCTGCTCCGAAGGTTTTGAATGTTGTAAGTTAAAAGTCCTTTTTTCATGGCTAAATCGAATGACTTGATTGGTGTAATGAGTACAGTTTTTTTAAGGAATTGAATGTCTATTTTCATAAAGCAGATGAGCTTGAGTCTTTGATAAAGGGAATTGAGTTCGTCGCAGCTACCAATCCAGACGAATGTTATTATTATGAGAACCCACTTGATGACGAAAAATGTGAGAAAGTAATATGGTAATCACTTAGTGCTCATCTGATCAAATTGTTTGTTCTTCTTCAATTTTTTTCGTATTCACCCCATTAATTACAATTTTCTTAGGCGGTGGTCGAGTGGTCGGTGTTCCACAAATGATTTGGAAGATTTTGAAAAAAAAGATGGACTTCAGTATCCCTATATCGTTTGTAATATTGGCAGTGGTGTTTCGGTTCTGGCAGTTAGAGGGCACGACGATTTTGTTAGAGTTTCGGGAAGCAGGTTGTTCTTTAAATTCTAATATACATCTGGAAGTCAAGATTTATTAAGCTCCTGAGCAGGTGTTTCTTGGAAGGAAGTCATATAGAAGTTTTAAATGTAATGGTTCCATTATAAAGGACTTTGATTTCTACTGCTTGCAGTTCTAGGAAATGAATCTGTAGTTCTTTCTTTTCAAAACATACATTTTAGCAACAGATGTTTCTGTTGCTGGATTTGTTTTTGAAAATGCTCTAAAGGTAGCTTTGGTTATGCTTATTTATTTCCTGTTATTTATGGTGTGAGTTTGCGTAGTGGGAAAAAAGATTTATAATAAGCTGCTGAGTTTATAGAAAAGAGATTTGAGGATTGGGGATGAAGTAGGAAATCACCGTTCCAAAATAGTAGAGGAGACAACTGTAATGAATTTACTGTTTTAAGTGACTATTTGTAAGAGTTGAGGGTAAGACGGAATGAAAGATCTGTTTGAATATTTTCTTCTTTTTCTCATCGACCTTCATACTTCCAAAGTGTGGAGAGATTACATTTTTTTATCAGATAGTTTTTTGAACAACATGTGATAGATATCAATTCTCTCACGCCCTCTAATTTACACTTTTGCTATTTTGAAATTGTACAAAATATTTTTCTTTGCATTAATCTGTACTTTGTTCCAAAAAATTGAGAGGTTTACTTGGCCCATTTGAATATTTTCCTTCGCGGTTTTGGTTAACAACGGAAAATATGATTCTCACTCTATATACTTTTGTTTTTTGGTAGTAAAACGCTATTACACTGGGTTCATTGTTGCGTAAAACGCCTCTCAAGTACATTAAGAATGTTTTGAAAGTGGAGTTCTGAAAATATTAAGTCATTTGTGTTTCATTACTGGGATCCATTTTAGTATTGGTGGTGGTTTTTTCCAAGGCCTGTGCGTTATTATGTGTGGTTCGGAAACATTCGAAAATTCCATTGAACTTGCTTCTAAAGGGGATAATAAAAACGTTGATAAACTTGTAAAAGATATTTATGGAGCGGACTACGAGCAAGCTGGACTTCCTGGCGACATTGTAGCTGCCAGGTCATCTTTTAATTAAGTTTTAGTACATGGCTTTAGTTACTTGCTACTTATTTGCTTTTATAGAAATTGTAATAGTGCTGATAAATCAACTTTTTCTTGTGTAAGATTTTTGGTTAATTTTAGTTTTGGTAAAATTGGCTCCAAAAAAGATCTCGTAAATATTCGTAAAGAGGATCTAGCTCGTTCCGCTTTAGTGACTACCACAAATAACATTGGCTCCATCGCCTTTGGTGCTGCAATGTCTTATAGGATTGATCGGATAGTTTTTGTAGGTATGATTTAATTAAGTAGACAGTCTACTTATTTAGTCTTATCAAAAAATGAGTTATTTGGGTTTTATTATCTTTGGCAATAAGTATATTTTGCAACTTTAACCGCGTAGACATTATTCAGCACATTAGTATTGACAGTTTGCACTATTAACGAAACATCTAAATTTTCACCTTAAATTTTTTGGTTCAGCAAAGCTTTTTCGAGGTTGCATCTCTTACTTGGGTCTCTCTGTTTACTTATATTCTTTTTATTTTTTAGGAAACTTCTTGCGAGTAAATCCAATTGCTGCACGACTTCTCAGCAATGCAATGACATTCTGGTCAAAGGGTACTAAGAAAGCACTTTTCCTTAATCATGAGGTTTTTTATTTTATTCAAATTTGTAAACGGTATTTTCTTGGTAAATTTTGACACTTGGAAAGTTTACAGAGATGATAAGATGATAGTAACAACTTTTTAATTTAAACTTGCTTTGGGGGTTGTTTTATAAGTGATATATTCTTGTATGGACACATCATGGCTTTGGTTGGTCTTTTCATTTTTAATATTTTTTAATGCCTTTTATCTTATTTATAAGGTTTGTTGCATGGTGATGGGAGAAATATTTTAAATTGTTTGTTTACATAGTTTTTACATTTTTTGATTTTAGGGTTATTTTGGTGCTGTAGGATGTTTGGATAAACTGGTCTATCTTACTGAAATCAGGCGTCAGATGCGTGCTGAAGAACGCAGACTAGAAAAAGAGGGTTTGAGAAAACCTTCAGAAAAATTGTATTAGCTTATACCAGTGAGATTTTATTGAACAGAGTATACTTCCCATTCATTGCGTGCATTTTCGCATGAATTTATGATCTTGCAGGGTGTTTTTATGTCTTGCCTTCTCTCTACGATTGTTTTTTTTTTTTTTTTTAATTATTCATTTCTTCCATCTCATCACAACTCAGAAAGACTAAGGGTGTGGGGATGGCTTTTATCTGAGCTGAGAATCTGGAGTTTCCTTGTTGAGTGGATTTTTTTAACGTATGAATTGGAAAGATTTTTGGACTTACGGGTATTACCTTTTTTGTTCTTGTATCCTTGACACGTTTTGGAACAGCGGACTTAACTATAGTGAGGGGAAGTGAAGTATTGTCGGTTCTTTTATAAAATTATGAGTTTGTATAATGGTATTTAAATAGGTTCTCAACAGTATCTTGAAAGTCATTATATTACCACACTATAGCATCATTGTTTCCATTCCTTTGCTTTCTCATAGCGCCTGCCGTTGAAATGAAGGATTGATAAGCGTTACTTTGGAAAGCATTTCTTTATAATTGTTTTGCTTGTTAAGTTGTTGCATATCAGGTTATGTTTATTATTTATTAGTTTATTTATTTATTTCATTTCTTTTTTTACCAGGTTTGTCTTTCCTGTTAATGCCATGATAGTTCATGGACGTTAAATTCGTCGTTTTCATGCTGTGAAATTTACTGGGTTTTATTACTACAGATTGCTTAGAGTTTTTTTAAAGTCAGAAATAAGTTTGGTTTGATAGCGGAACTGCAGGATGAGTTTGATTGTTTATCTTCGCAATCTATTTTTGGGATTCGACTTAATATGGTTAAGATGGTATCGTCTGTTGAGTGTTCTTTAAAATGCTTGCTAGTTTCTTGACGGCGATCTGTTACTTTGATTAAGGTTGCGTAGGGCTTTTTTAATAAGCGGTTGAAACAGGAGATCAATGGGATGGTTTGTGAAATAGTTGATTAGACACAGTTGTTTTGTTTATTCTGAATACTGTCTGCTCTTATACTTGTGTTTGTTTATTTACTTGGATAAAAGTTGTTTATTAGGGAACTCTGTCTGCTACATCTCTTTTATTTCTGGATATCCAGTCATTTGCTGTTTTCCAGCACTTTTCATTCAGTTTGGGCATTTTACTTATCGTATTTTTTTTTTATTTAGTTTCACAGACTATGCACTTAAATTATGTTGTTTTGAGTATATAGGAAGTATTGTTGTGCTTGATCCAGATTAACTTTTTTTGGTTTATTTATTAACTCCACAGTGGAGATTTGCCGATGTTCCAACTTTCCTCAGTCATTAGTTGTCTTAATTTCTACTCACCTGCCATAGTTGCGGTCTTCTAGACTGTGGTATCCACCATAGTGTTGTTGTTTTATATTAATTATATTGTCCAGAAAGTACCTCAGCAGTATTCTCATCATTTGGCACTTGTGATTTTATTCTTGTTTGATACCGAAGATTTTTGCGTTCTGTGTTAATTGGCTATTTTTTTAATTGGAATTTTCGGTAATTTTATTTGTAATTTTGTCATGTGACCTCCGTGTATAAAAATTTATTTTTGCATTTAGATGCATATGGTATTCTGGCTTAGCTTTAATCAGGTGATCATTTAAAACGGCGAATTTCGAAATGTATTGCAGTTTAGCGGACTCAACATTTGGCACTTACTGGATTTTCAGTTTTTGTACCAGGTGTGCGTTATTTGTGTACGTGTGTCCTGTAGCGTTGGCAGTTTTTCATCAAAGTAGCCATTGCTTATCCAACTCTAAGTTCGGCTAAGAATCAGTGGTATTATAGTTTTTCTGAAACAACTGTTCAAGAAAGTACGTGTTAGATGCTTCAGTAATTACTAGTGTGTATTGGTCATAGGCCTATTTGTAGGAGACATTTTAATGATTAAACGATTACTGAGGGGGGAGTTTTTGGTGATTTTTTCTAGGCTCTATACCTGGTGACGTGTGAATATGGGTCTGGCTTTTGGTAGTGGGTTTCAGTTGTTTTCTGCTAAGTTTTTTTTTCGCCGTGAAGTACTATTGGCTTTTAATTAAAATATTGCTAAGAAATAACCAAGACACCGGAAGGTCAATAAAAAGTTGTGCTTTTATTTTTGGTAACAGTGTCGTTAGTTTTTGACCGGAGGTGTTACTGACGGCTTGTCAATTGGTAGGATGGAAAGAGGTGAGGGGGAAGTTCAGTGTGGCAAAAATGTGGTATGACGTCAGTAGTGGTGAAACAAAGATGTAGTATTGTTGTTTTATCAAGTTCATGTTAGTTTTATTGATGTTGTTACAGTGGTTTAATTGCGGCCTGGGTAAGGTGAGATGATGATGCTTAGGTGAAGGGCTGATGTTCTACTAGATGCTATGCTATTCTTTTTGAGGAAGGTCAGCACTTGACAATGTATTGTGTTAGAACACGGCAAGAGAAGCTTTTTTTCGTTCCAGTATATCTGCTGAAAGAAGTTTAATAGAGCCGCGAATTTTCTGCAGAGAAAGGTAAATTTGCTGAAACAAAAGCGGTAAAAATTGGGATAATTAGATAAAAAACGATTTGAGGAAGAAAGCACTTGAGGTGCATAGGTAAGAATCTACTGTTGAATTGGTTTATGGGTGCTCAGTGTTCTAATTTTTTTTATTAAGTGCACTGGTTGCTGGAAAGTGAAATATTATGTGTAAACGGTTTTCTTTGATTAACGAAGCGCAGAAGTTAACAATAATTGTATGTTTTTGAGGTTATTTTTGTTTTGCTTAGTTTCTTCTTCAGCGTTCCTGTATTGGTGTCTACTGACTGTGTTTTGCGAAAATTGTTTCTGATTTTGGTACTCTGTGTGGATTTTCGTAATATGCGTGAAATTAAAGAGTAACAGTTGCCATAAGTGACTTTTAACATTCGTGACGGTCAGCTATCGCTATTGTTTCAGAGGAAACCAACCACAACAGTAGTTGAAGCTTTAACCTTAAAATTTGTTTAATATTAGTAATTTTCATTTTTTTTTTTTTTTTTTTTTTTTTTTTTTTT